AGCTCTATGCAATGTAATTGTGGCCCCCGAACCTCCTTCTCTTCTCAAGTCTCCCACCGACTCTCTTGGTTCCTCTCCTCCACAGAGTGACCCCATAGAAAGCCACTTTCTATGGGGGCACTCATGTGGGCTCACTCCCGAGCCCTGCTGTCTGCATCTGTTGGCACAGATAGCAAGACTCAGCCCCATCACCTGCTCCCTCCTCATTGGCTTTGATTGACAGCCAATGGTTCCCGCTGCCTCAGCAAGTCCAGAAATACCAGGAAATGAGGGGACAGAAGAGTTGCAAACAGGCACAGAGTTGGACCAAACAAGGGCTCTGGTAAGTAAAAAGGGGGGTGCGAGGGGATACTAATGCCTAAACATTTTAACATTATTGCAAGGAGTACATTAAATTAAAAAATGTTTAGGCTTTAGCACCACTTTAAGTGTGTTCTTTTTAGCTGCAGTCAGAGAAAATAGAATTCCGTGCATCTAGAATCTGATTAGAAACTGTAAATATGGCTAAACACATGTAAATGGGTTTAAATATGCTTAACATGGCTAAATCTGCTCTAAAGTAAGAACATCTAAATGTGGTAAAAAGTGATCAGGGAAATAAAAAAGTTGGTACACAGCTTTCAATCTTTATATAATTATATGTATTATTTATTTCTTATTTAAAAAATATACCCAGTAAAAAACATGTATCAATATTATAAGGCTGGAAACACTGTATTATATATGTAAATTGATGGCGCTATATAAGTACCTGTAATAATAATAATAATAATCATATTAATAATAATAATATTTATCAAGTGCCTTGCTTATAATTCACCATATATTGAGGCAATAGTCCATTCAAATCTTTACATATTACATAACTTTTCCTACAAGTGTAGCAAAAGTTATGTATTTTAGTTATGTGTTTTATTAACAACATTCATTTTTTTAGGGAGAGTATTAGTTCAGGGTATGTATATGGACAGATCAACCTCCATGTTAAAACATTGTATGCAGGTGCTTTGTGAGTGCTGTCCTGACCAACCAAATAGAAGCCACAAGAAAAGTATCCAATTCCCCTACTAAGTAATGTTATGGATCTTGATCTGTTAACTATTAGCACCATGATCTCTTTAAGCTGGTCATACATTAATCAGTTCTTTAGTTCAACCAGCACTTGAACTAGGACCCGATTCCCTCATCCACACATTCAAGGTCGATGGGAGAATTATTCTGGTTGTGCTATTTTATTTCGATAGCAGGGAAACTTCCCTTCTGCCAGAACACATGGATCAGTGTTGCTGGTTATAGACACTCGAACTAATTGTCTGGGCAAAAACCCGACAGGTTGGTAGTACAGAAGTCACACAGTAGATAAACTTCTATACAAGCAGCCTCCTGAACTAGCTGAAGTTTGATGCATGTATGGCCACTTTTACTCATCTCCTCTGTGTGAGTTTTTTATACATTGCCATAAATCTGTAAGTAAAAAATGTATGCCTTGACTGTATTGCATTGTAGCAGTTGTGCACACAGATATGGACGCGGTCATCCATCTTGCTCAAGATTCCCCATCTTGTATCATTCTCTCTCTCCCTCCAATCCCCCTCCCTCAGGAATGTGGTGTGTGTGCTGGGTTCCCAAGGACATCAGGCACAGTTGGATACACTTCATGGTTGTAATCCCAAATTAGCTGGTGCCCGGGTGTCTGTTAGCTTCTCGCTCGGAGATGATCGTAAAGCTATAAACCAGTCCTTCACTGGACATGAAACACATTCCAGAATAGCCGTAAAACATACACCCCATTTAAAAAAAACACTTTTCATAACTTAAAATAGGGAATACATACAATCGAACAAAGCATATATTCGGATAGCTCAGTTTAATGTGAGTCGCCTGATATCTTACACCCCTAGTTAAAGTCTACAGGAGAGTAGAAAGCCATATAGTTCTAGCTGAAATAGTAAGATATGGCATTATTTGATGTCTGGACGTTCAGGATATCATTCTGCATATTAATCTACTAGTGGCTAGGCTACTACATGTACCTAGGGAAGGTTATTGACCATGATATAAACTGGGAGGGATTTGGTCATAGCCTGAGTTCCCCACCTAAAATACCCCTCCCCAAATGAGGCGATTGGTTCTATGCTTTAAGGAGACACCCTGCTGGGTTCCTAGAAAAGCTGTTATGCTTGGAGCAGTAAGATGAAGAGATCTCCCTTTTAACATCAGGAACCAACTTTGGGAGAAAAGGCACCCTTTTGCTCAGGACCCTTGAATCTGCTTAAACCAGGATTTCTGCAAGTATTCTATCTTCTTAAACTTCTTTTTTTATCTCTCTGTATATATATATATATATATATATATATATATACAGTTTTTCAAGAAAAAGTATGTGAACCCCTTGGGATTACGTGGAGTTTTGCATGAATTGGGCATAAAATGTGCTCTGAACGCACGTTCTAAGTGACAACAATAGAAGAACACAGTCTGCTGAACATAATACTACACAAACATTAGATGTTGCCATGGTTTAATTGCACATAACATGTAAACATTCACAGTGCAGGAAGGAAAAAGTATGTGAACCTTTGGACTTAATAACTGGTTGACCCTCCTATGGCAGCAATAACCTCAACCAAACGTTTCCTGTAGTTGCAGATCAGACCTGCACAACGATCTGGAGTAATTTTGGACCACTCCTCTTCACAAAAAAGTTTCAGTGTAGCAATATTCTTGGGATGTCTGGTGTGAATCGCTCTCTTAAGGTCATGCCACAGCATTTCAATCGGGTTGAGGTCAGGACTCTGACTGGTCCACTCCAGAAGGCGTATTCTGTGCTGTTGCAGCCATTGTTTTGTTGAATTACTTGTATGCTTTGGGTCATTGTCCTGTTGCATCACCCATCCTCTGCGGAGCTTCAGTTGGCGGACAGATGGTCGTACGTTTTCCTGCAATGTCTTGATAAACTCTGGAATTCATTTTCCCATCAATGATAACAATCCGTCCAGGCTCTGAGGCAGCAAAGCAGCCCCAAACCATGATGCTCCCTCCGCCATGTTTCACAGTGGGGATGAGGTTTTGATGTTGGTGTGCTGTGCCTTTTTTCCTCCACACATAGTGTTGTGTGTTCTTCCCAAACAACTCAATCTTTGTTTCCTCTGTCCACAGTATATTCTGCCAGTAGTGCTGTGGAACATCCAGGTGCTCTTTTGCAAACTTCAAACGTGCTGCAATCTTCTTTTTGACAGCAATGGCTTCCTCCGTGGTGTCCTCCCATGTACTCCATTCTTGTTTAATGTTTTCCTTATTGTAGATGTGTCAACAAAAATGTTAGCATGTGCCAGAGATTTCTGTAGGTCTTTAGCTGACACTCTGGGATTCTTCTTTACCTCATGCAGCATTCTGCGCTGTGCTCTTGCAGTCATTTTTACAGGACGGCCACACCTAGGGAGAGTAGCAACAGTGCTAAACTTTCTCCATTTCTAGACAGTCTGTCTTACCGTGGACACATGAACATCAAGGCTTTTGGAGATACTTTTGTAACCCTTTCCAGCTTCATGCAAGTCAACAATTCTTGATTGTAGGTCTTCTGAGAGCTCTTTTCTGCGAGGCATGGTTCACATCAGACAGTGCTTCTTGAAACTAGTAAACCCAAAACAGGTGTGTGTTTTTTAAGGGCAGGACAGCTGTCAGCAACACATCCAATATCATCACACTGATTGGAGTCAAGGTTGGCTCACTCCTGGCTCCAATTAGCTCTGGGAGAAGTCATTAAGCTAGGGCCTCACATACTTTTTCCTCCCTGCACTGTGAATGTTTACATGTTATGTGCAATTAAAACCATGGCAACATCTAATGTTTTTGTAGTATTATGTTCAGCAGACTGTGTTCTTCTATTGTTGTGACTTAGATGACATTCAGAGCACATTTTATGCCCAATTCATGCAAAACTCCACGTAATCCCAAGGGGTTCACATACTTTTTCTTGCAACTGTATATATATTGGCTACATCTTTTTCTGTAAATATTTTATTGGCACCATTTTGACCTTTTTAGTAATAAATCCTATTATCTGAAAAGTGTTGAACTGTTTCTAAAGCTCTTAATGCAAACTAAAAATCCCTGTCTCTGAAGAGCGCTACTGTGTGTTTTAAACTTCTGAATACATCTGCCTGCGGTGACAGTGTGTATACAAACGCTTATTCAAATATCATAGTGTTACTGCTGAGATTGGCGAGTTTCCTCCTTCTCCGTACAAAAAGGCGGTGATGGCAGTGTGAAGGGTTAATTGCGTAATTAACCTGACCCAGTAACAATCGCTCTCAGGCTGCGGTACATAGATTGTGGTCCATTAGCTGGAAAATCTTTATGCAGGGTGAAGCTGAGCATGGCATTGTTACGCATGTGACAGCGCGGTTTTAGATTGGCTAGTCCTTCAGTCACAAGTTGGTGAGAAGGGCTGGGGGTCTGACGCCGCATCCGTCACAGTCATATCTGTGTTTATCATAGGGTATTCATGAAGGATGGAATAGATTGGCTAGATAATTAAATATGGGTATCACATTATAGCTCTAGGTCAGTAGTAGCTTTGTAATGCTCCAAACCCAGTGAAGCTGGACTCCAAGAGTAACAAAACTTTATAAATAAAGATGTAGTACATAAGATTTTGCATGTACTAAGACCTAAACATTAAAGCGGAGTTACACTCACCCTTTCTTTCTTTTGGTGGTATTTAATCACCACTGGGGTTTTTATTTTTTGCTAAACAAACTGAAAAAGACTGAAAATTTTGAAAAATAAAGTTTTTTCTTAGTTTAGGGTATAAAATTTTGTAAATAAATAATTTTTCTCCTTCACTGATGTGCGCTAATGAGGCTGCAGTGATGGGCACTGATAGGCTGCACTGATGGACACTGATAGGTGGCACTGATGGGCATTGACAGGCATCATTGGTGGGCATTGACAGGCATCACTGAAAGGCAGCACTCCTATATGGCACTGATAGGCGGCACTGACTGGCACTGATAGGCAGCATTGATTGGAACTGTTAGGCAGCACTGATGGACACTGAAAGGGGCACTGACTAGCACTGATAGGCAGCACTAATTGACGGCAGTGACTGGCACTGATAGGCGACACTGACTGGCGCTGATAGTTGGCACTGAAAGGCAGCTCTGATGGGCACTGATATGTGGCATTAATGTGCACTGATGGACACAGGTATATGGCATTGATGTGCACTGTTGGGCACTGGTATGTGGCATTGATGGGCACTGACAGGTGGCAATTATGGGCACTGAAAGGCAGCACTGATGGGGCTATACTGATAATCAGGGCACTGATGATCAGTGTAGATGTCCCCTCTGAGGAATGCTGCTTACTGGCTCTCAGCGTGAGGAGAGGACTGTTGATAACTGACATTTCCTTTTTACATGTGATCAGCTGTGATTGGACACAGCTGATCACATGATAGAGCCTGTCATCGGCTCTTTACTGCGACCAGTGACCCATTGTGTCCCAGGGACACAGTGCACCACCGATTGTCGTGCCACATGCCCCTGGGGGTGCACATGTGCAGCTAGAGTGGGATATGATGTCCTCCCAGAACGAGGGAGCCGCCGCCCTCCTGTCATTTCCTTATATGGTGGGTGGGAGGGAGGCGGTTAAATTAAAAATCCAGAAAAAATTAAAAATAAACAATTGACAGCATCCTTCAATAAACTCTTCCCAAAAATGTATCAATCCATTTAAGTGAAAGTGAGAGAATAACTTCTGCCACTTGATGAAATGTAGTGAGGCAGTATTGAAGAGAAATCCTCCTGGTTATCCACCATGATAAAAAAAAGGGCCTCTTACCAGACAGGTGGACCATTAGATTATAAATGGTCATAATATGCTCAGCACACCATAATCAGAAACAGCACCTCCACAGCAAACCAATATACTCAGTAGTCAATGTCATCGGTGGATAAACAATATTCCTCCATAGTGATGTGTGTTTGGAAACTCTCTTTTTATTAAAATAATTATTAACATCCACAAATAGGCAAAAGTGAAGTAATGGTAAAAAGTTTTTCTTACATTAAAAAAGCATCAATCTGGCAGGCTGATGGCTCCAGCAAATAGACCGCCAAGTCAGGCTGGCAACCACACATACACACAACATTGCTGCATGATGATGTCACACATAAGCCATGCCCTTATGGTGTGCTGAGTGTACTATGACAATTTATAATCTAATGGTCCACCTGACCTGGTAAGAGGCCCTTTTTATCAAGGTAAAAGGTGGCAGATTTCTCTTCAATACTGACAGACTAAATTGCACCAAGTGGTAGAAGTTATTCTCTCACTTTCACCTAATTGGATTGATTCATTTTTGAGAAGAGGAGTTGTATTGAAGGACGCTACAATTTTAATTTTTTAGTTTTTTCTGGATATTTCATTTAATCTGTGGACACTTTATTGGGATTTGGAACTTTCAGAGAGTATATTTTCACATTTGTTTGTGTACTAATATCACTTGATTAGCACTGCTTTTTGCTATGTACTATTGATTTTTTACATACTTTAATCAGAGAAGTTTAGTGTCACCATAGTGACACTGTTCTACCCTGGAGGAAGGGGGTAGATCAGGGATTTTTTTTTTTTACACTGTGATTGCTTATAACAGAGATGAGCACTGTTCTAAGCAATAGTTACAGTACCTGTCATGAATGGCTTTCTATTAATGACAGCATGCTTTCTGCTGACATGCTGAGATTGGCTACAGCTAATCACATGGTACAGGGTGTCAGGTACCATGTGATAGCTGTGGGCCAATCACAGCTTTACAACATAAAGCAATCTGTCATGAATGGAAATCGTTCATGACTGTTTTGTTTACATTATAACCATTTGATTGCTATAACCAATCATAACCATCACCTGATACCCCAGTAGCTTACAGAGGCCGGGTACCGATTGCCATGTCCTGTGGACACAGAGGTCATGGGATTGCATTGCTGCACACTCCAGGGGGCATGCTAGTACACATGTGCCAGGCAATGTACCAGTACATTGCTGTGCCTGGCTGTGCTGCCCGCTCGCAGTAAAAGTACTGTGGATGGGCAGCAAATGGTTAATGTAACAATAACAGTTGTTTATATTTTAAAGATGACTTGAACTGCATTTGGAAAGCTAAACACAGGAGTGCCATTATGATTAGGACCTAAGAGATGCTATTTTGACTACTGCCTTCAACTGATAGTAGGCAGTAGTGGTTATTTAGAGTAATGGACAGAAAGAAGATTGGGAAAAGTGACAATATATTAAGGGACTCGATCTATAAAGTTTCTTTTCCAATTCTGAACTCCAGGGAAAAAGAAAAATCCCTCCAGTGGGGATTACCCACACTGCAAGAGTTAAAGTGTTACTAAACCCATGACCCTGCATTCACTATATCTGGTCTACCACAGTACACAGAACATGGAAATGCAATTATTTAATATAAATATAAACTGCTAAATACCTTTTCTCATGAGCAGTTAGAGCAGTCCTGTGTTTTCTATCAGTGTCCAGCAGAGCACTGGCTAAAGTTTGTAGGAGGAGTTTTCATTTTCCCCTGATTGTCCTATGAGACTGCAGGACCCCTGACCCTCTGTCTGGACTCGCTCTGTGCTGATCACATGAACTCTCCCAAGACCAAAAAAATCCTCTCTAGCAATACACACCAAACTAAGCATGTGCAGCTTGCCCCCAAGGCTCTGTTCTATCAGCAGATGGATTGGGGACAGTAGACAAAGGGGAGGATCAGAGTAAACAGGATCAAACATTATTTTTATGCAATGCAGAGGATTAACCCCTTAGGTTTCACAGCAAGAATAACAAGCATGCTTTACTGCATATACAGACTGATTTTACCGCTGCGGGTTTAGTAACACTTTAAATGCTAATTTTTGCCTAAGGAATTAAAAGCAAAAAACATAGGAAGGAAAATGGAGCACTGGGGGGTTTGGGGGGGGGGTTGGGGGTATAAGCACAGAGTTGAACTTTAAACTGTAATGTCCCTTGTGCCGCAATACACTCAAAGTAGCTTAGCAACTCTGCAAGCCAAAAACTCCAGACCCTAGTGCTATCTCCACAGGTCATTCACACAGCCTCATCTGAAATGCAGAATAAGAAGCCTACCTCCAAATAATCAGTACATGCAGCATTTAGGATTAATCAGGTTTTTGTCTTGTGCAGTCTTAATGGGTTGTATTTATGTGGCCTTTGCAGTAGTACAAAGGTCAAACCCTATCTTTGACATCTGGTTGAGTTGCTGTGAGCACACTTAAGCTCAACCATGAGGCAAAGCAGTATATATATATATATATTATATTTAATATATTATAAAACAGGCAACAGGGCTGGAGTTAGCTTGGGGTTCTTACCTCTTGTGAAGTGAAAGGAGGTAAGAAACTAAGAAACTTAATGAGGTTTAAATGTATTGGTATTCATCCAGTGCTTATAAATCCAAATCTGGGTTGTAGAGCAGGTGAGTCTATGGGGGGAGGGAAGTGGGGCAGTAGGTGAGAACAAAAGGTGAGTATTGCAGTAAGAGCTGCATTTTATATGTTTAAAGCTGCTGACAATCTATTGAAAAAAAATTATGTTTCTTCAAAAGTCCTGAGTAAACAATTAGGCAAGCAAATCACTGGCCAAAAGGGCTACACAACAAGTATCAAAGGACCACATGCCGCCCCAGGCCACATCTTGGGAAACAGAGCCTTGGACTGTGCAGTTAGTATAGACTTAAGAACTAGGTCACAGTATTATGCATCTGTAAAATATTTTGAAATATCAATGCTTGCAAAATGCCACTAAAATAGAAGTATTTTCAGATGTTCATTGAATTATCAGCTGGCAGCACAATATCGTGTCTCTATAGTGCCTAGTGGCAATCTTCTGCACTCTGTGTATACATCTTTATGCTGCACAGATTCACTAGTAGCTTAAGGGAGGAATGGTGAGAAAAGCAAGAAGCACTGAAGCAAGACTCATGTTTGTCTTGAGTCAGTCCCATGTGTTCACCATTGAAGAATGGATTTCATTGTTTTAGGCTGACATATAAAATATGCAACATTTCCAAAATGTTAAAAACAAACCTATGAAATATTAAAAGACTGTATGCATGAACTCAAGCATTAACATTATTTGTCATTTGCTTTCTAGAACAGTCCAACAAGTTACAGCTATGGGATACTAGCCAAAGCATTTTAGTCATCGCTTGAGATCTTTCCTGTCATAGGTAAACTGTGCCAAGTTTATTAAACGTCATGTAATAGATGGTAAGAATAAAAACTGTACTTGTGTACTTTAACTATAAATAGACACCAATTATGTTTGCTGGTCTGTATTAAAAAAAAAAAATATATTTTATATTATATATATACAGTATATATATATATATATATATATATATATATTTGATGCTAGTTTTCTCTATAACAGGGATATAATCGATTAGCAGAGTATATGCTGCACAAATGAATAGTTCTTTTAAAAGAGAACTTCATATTATTAAAAATAAATAAGTGATGTAGCGCTGCTATATAATAGCTAAAAAAAATTAAAACGTGACATAACTGAATAACACGTCCATAATGAGTCCATAAATGTAAAATCAATCAATTAATATTATGTAATATAGATTCTTCCATAATTCATGTGTTTTCTTCTTGTGCTGGTATCCAAAACACCATCAAGTGAAACATATAGTGCCACCTCAGTGCTCACAGAACTCTCACCTCACAGCACATGGAAATGCACTTTATAATAACAAATAGACTAAAGGATTCTTCGCTTTTTTAATCTATAACCATGTGATAGTAATCAGACACCTTTGAGCTTTCAATAGATTGTCAAACCTGAGCCAGGGATCTGTCCCTTTAAGGGTGATGGAGGTCACACATTTCTATCCTTAAGAGGGAACAAAGGACACTCCCATGGTGCAGTATGTACTAGTATATAAATTTATTAAGAAGCAGTAATACACATACATGTAGTAAAAGAATAAAATACCATAAAATCATCAGATGCAGGCTTCACTTGTTGTCAGCTGAACTCACTATTCATGTCTGCCCAGAGCCAAGCCCCTTACGCGTTACATCACGCCCACGTGACTTCATCAGAGGCTCTGGGCAGAGTTCTGTGAGCACTATATATTTTATTCAGTTATATTACTTTTTAATTTTTTGTAGCTATTATATAGCAGTGCTACATCACTTATTTATTTTTCATTTGCTCTACTATTGTGGGAACAAAATTTGATGTTAGCAGCAGCCACTATCATCACAA